TCTCTCTCTCTCTCTCTCTCTCTCTCTCTCTCTCTCTCTCTCTCTCTCTTCTATCTTTGAATGATGTCGAGTCTCGATCTCTTTCTCTCTCTCCAATGAGAATGGGTCTGCATGCTATTCCTGTGTAAAAGAACTTCTTCCGGAACTCTTCCATTAGTTTCCTGGGTAGTCCCCCTATGCAAGAGCCCCGTCTTCGTGTCTTGTGAACGGTGGATGCGTGTGTATTGTTCCGCGATCCATCCTTTTGTCCCTGCGCATATCTCATTTTCGCACCTTCCACAGTGAATGAATGTATGGAGATTCGTGGTTTTTTGCGTTGATTAGATGATTGTTGTCAGGATTTTGTTTGAGAATGCAAGAGTGTTTAGATCTGTAGCTCTGAATGTACTATGCATGCCATCTGCCTTCTGCTGTACGACCTCAGCACCCGAGCCACAGGGCGGCCTCGAGAAACAAGGCGCCTCGGATCAACGTCGCGTCGGCTCACTAAACCCGAGCCGCGGGCCGGTCCGTTAGTTACATGCATGATCAAGCTGATGAGTGTTTTCTCTCCCTCTCTCGTATAGAAAAGGATTGATTGGGGGTTACGCGAGTGTTTTCTTTTCTTGATGACGTCTCAAGGTTTTTGCAATTGATTGATATGTGGACTGACAAGTACCCTCCGATCGGGCGTCAGCCTCCCGTGCCTCCCGTATCGACACGGCCTTTTCCTTACAACGAGGAAAGGACACGTGTATGCGAGTGGGACGTACGAGAAGCTATCGCACAGATCGGCGGGCGATACCACTTCCCTCCGGCAAACCATTGTTCAGGGTTCGTAGAGGCTGGGTTTGTTATTGTTGACACGCACTTCCCACCCTACTCAATATTGCTCCCCTTTAACGAGCTGATCGTCATTCCGTGGACAGAAGTGGCGCCCCATTGGCCTCGAACCCTGTGCACAGAGTGCCAGCGTTTCGATCGCTACGAAGCAAAGGTCTTCCACTACCGAATACGGAGTGAGGACGAGCATAAGGAAAGAGCCACGTGTCTGCGACCCTCCACATCAGACTCATAACTGACCAGCGAGCGCCGACGGGATTTGATCCCAAAACAAGACACGCGAAGCGTGCCGAAGCCCTTCCGCTCTAAACGACGGGCCGTAGCGCGGTGGGAAGCTCGACAATACTTTTTGGATTGAATTTGGATTTTTCTCTTTTCGCGCTGTGCCCACGCGCGCATTCCGCGACGCGCGAAAGCAACCGACTTACTTCATCGGACCAACACGGGGGATTTCAGTTCCGTCTGTGTCCCCACACTCAATTTCCAAAAATCCTTGGCACACCCCATCTTGCTGTTTTTTTGGGCCTCTTTCCGCACATCTAGCACTCCGAACGAAAGACAGCGCAGGGCGTGAGGTTAGCGCGTCACATAGAAGTGGGTGCCTAAAAAGTACTGAGATGAAGTGTTATTTCAGCGGTTGTAGGGGTCTTACAGCGGTAGAGTCCTACCCACTCTGAAAAGTGATCTACAACGACGAAGAAAATGAACAGTTCACAGCGATTGGGCCTATCTGGAACACAAATGTCCTGTCCTACACCTTCAAAAGGGTGGACAATTGCGATAGAAATCATTGTCTGCAACACTTCAATTTACAGCTTATCTACACAATCGGTCAGACAGTTTCCGCAATAACGTTACATATTCTCCAACATTTGATTAAAACCAGTGATTGTTCTGTATCGCTGTCACGGTATATCAGGTGACAAAATGTCTTGCATCCCGATACATGTCCGGGCAATTATCCCACGAGCATCTCACGTTCACGAGTGTTCCGTTCAGCTGCGTATCAGAGACACGGTCAGGGTTCAACCAAGGGCTGGCTATTCCCAGTGATCCCCTTTCACGACGAGCTTGAGTCTTCGCAGCGAGTTCTTACATGACGGGTTACGGGACTACCATACATCGTTAAGCCACCAGTACACCGGGGCCTGGAGGCCCTGCACTGCACACCAAGCTTTTCTGTACCGCCACGGGCACACGTTTTTCCCTTTTTTGGCTGGTGCCGCCAGCTATTGTGGTCCGGAAGGCCCGAGCCATGAAACTTTCGGAGTATGCGATGAACAAATTTCTGCAAGGCTGGGTCCGTGTACTGGCAAGTGCAAATTCCTTACTTTTCTCTTCTAGTTGCCCATTGCCCCATCTATAGGCCTGCATCTTCTCTGCAGGACCCTGCCATCTTCCTTGGAAATCTTCTGTGAGATCCTTTCCAGCTAATTTCTCCAATAGCCTAGTGTGGGTCGGCACCCCAGCAAGTTGAATCTTGTCCAGAAAGGCCACATGGTCCTCTGGGCATAGAGATACCATCTTTCAATAGGCAGGTTGGCGACAACGTATCTGAGAATGAACTTCCCCCTAGAACATGGCCAGATGCACTCGTCACATTTTTGTCTTTTTCACATTTGGAGAGTGGTGTGGCGAGGCCCATAGTGTCTGTGGTTCTATAACAAATGCAGGCCCCATGGTCATGCTAGGGCAGGGCTCACTCTCTCCTTTTGAATGGCCGAGTAGACGCTGTCTCCAGTGGCACATGCCACACTCAACCCACTCTACCTACACAGCAGCTCTTGGAAATGTTCGAACTTGGCTACTATCCTCCCCAGAGAATATTGGTACTGGAGTTGTTGTTCAACTTTCAAGCACCTGGATGTTTTAGAAGCCAGGTGCAGGATCTGCATTCTGTTCCAGGCATATTCAAGTAAATTTTGGCATTCCCAAAAAAGAAAAAAAAGAAAAAAAAAAAAAGAAAAGAAAAAAAAGGCATGGACAGTTTGGCCATTACCAAATTTGTAAGCTCCTCCAGCAAATCTTCCCTAATACAAAAGGGAGGATTCAGGTGAGGTATGGGAGGCAGTTGGAAATGCATTTCCCAATGCACCTGGTTGGGTGCTTTAGCGGGGTGCATGATCCGTACTGAGCGCTGTACATGCATAAGTACATTCTGACGGGGTCCATGGTGATAATGCCTAAAACGTTTGATGCAGACACGATACCCATCATCTCTGATACATTCACGGCCTCATTCCTGCACATGCATCTGTCAGAATGTAGCTGGACGTTATAGATTTGGGTGCAGATTACTTACCTATCCTTCCTGGAGTCGAGAGATGACCAACGACCCTACAGTAGCTCAGTTGGTACACCCATGAACTGTTGAAATATTATAGACCGAATTTCGAATCCGGGCAGCAATCAGATGCTGAAAGAAATGGGGAAAAAAAAACAACAGAAAAAAAAAAAGAAAGAAAGGGAAAAGAAAAAAAAAACACGGGGAGAAGGGAACGATGCCCAACGCGCGCCGCGACGACCCCTCTCTCACCTCCAAAAAAAAAAAAAAAAAAAAAAAAAAAAAAAAAAAAAAAAAACTTTCTCGAAGCAAACGCAATGCATTCATTCAAACCTGTCAAGGCTGGACCTCGCACTCGCCAGGATTAGTGTCCGACCGTCGATCAGGGACATCGATGGCCACAGGGGACGAATTGGTGTGAGCGGCAGCTCGGGCCTGAGGGCCTGGTTGTACAACTCGCCATCTGCCATCATTTTGAATGCACACGGACTCAAAGTTGTCCAGATGCATTCAAAATGTTGCCAGATGGCGAGTAGTGACAGTGGTAAACGTGAACGGTCAGGAGTTGGCGTTGTACGTCGACGATCGTTTGGAGAAAGAACCTGCAATTCCCGTTCACGTTACGTTATATATATATATATATATATAAAATATCTTGCATTTATTGGAATATATATATATCTGTTTGTGACGATATATATATATATATATATATATAATTTATAAATATATATAGAGATATATATTATAGAAAAGTTATATATTATATTTGTGTGTATGCATCAGATTTCTGCTCGTGATTCGAGCTCACGCCTTTGTTTACGTTACAACTAGCAGTTACATATGTGTTCACGATTCTCACCCACAGGGGTTCAGTAAGCTGGCACTGGCAGTTCACACTACGTAGCGACTGGTGCGACTGGTGCGACTGGTGCGACTGACCGCCCGATCGATCCGACGAATCTATCAGAGGACAGAACAGGTGGGGGACGCAAGAGAGGATGTGCGCGCTACCTGCGCAAGCACAGGTCCCAGGGATTCTTCGATTCTTGTTAGAGAACCTAGCGCAGGAGCGTTTATGGGTGTGGATCGATCTCTGATGGGAGTTTAAACTGTATTGTCTGAAGAGGGGCGGGACTTCGCGCGCGCCTTCGAGCGCGTGCTTCGAGCGCGTGTACGTACCGCCGGCTCGAGGCCGACGAATGAAAAAAAGAGTGGCAAAACAGATCCGCCTATCTATCCGTCGATTTTACTATGGAAGGAAAGTGCGAGGCATAAACAACGAGCGGCATAGCGGGCGGAGGCAGCGCTGGTGGCGGCGCTCGCGGGAAGGCGAAATTGCCGGCGCGAGAGCCTCTTGCCGAGCCTCGAGCCCCGAGGTCCGCCCCCTGCCAGTAGCCCTGCTGCGGCGGTGCGCGATCGTTTGTTTGGGGCTCGCTCCGCCGCTCACCGCATGCACAAAAGACAAAACTTTCTGCAGCGCATCTGTACGTGTTGTAGGGGAAAATCCTTCTCATTTTGGTGAGCGGCTTTGGGCCCCCGCCACGCCACTCTCGAAATGTGAAAAAGACAAAAATGTGGCCGGTGCATCTGGCCATGTTATAGCTGGAAGTTCGTTCTCATTTTGCACATTTCGGGAGTGGTGTGGCGACTCTCGTTTTTCGGGTTTTCTGTTCTGTGCGGCGCGGTCTCGGCGGCAGGCACGCAGCGTGCGACAAAAAAAAAAAGGGGAAAAGGGCGAGAGAATACAGCGGAAGACGACAAAGTACTACCGTGGGGAGGGTGGGACAAAAAGTACTACCAAGGAAAGGACAACATGGCGGCGGGGGCGAGGTCGAGGTACTACCAACAAGACAAGGCACGTCCTTGGTACGCCAAGCGGAAAACGCAAAAAAAAAGAAGTAAAGAAAAACGTACATTTTCCCAATGTGGCGGGCGGAGGCCCGCGTGGCGCGGAGGGGGCAGGCGGCGGGTGATGGAAAGGTGGAGAGGCGTGGGTCGGGAGGCCGTACGGCGCGCAGGGGCGGGCCGGCGAGAGTCGCCCAGGGGATCGACGGGAGCTGGTGGCTTGCCGCGCGGAGAGCTGGGGTCGTTCGCGGAGGAGGGCAGCCGAAGCGCGGGCGAGACGGGGTGGGCAAGCCGGGGGAAACCGCGGCGAAAGGGGAGAAAGGGGGCGAAGTGAGCGCGCAGCCGGGGATTGCTGGTGGGGGCAGGTGCTCTCTGCTCTCGGCTATCTGTTCCGTCGTGCTGCTCTGCGGTCGCATGCTGCGCTGTTCTGTTCTGTGCTGCGCTGTGCTGCGCTGTGCGGTGGTGCAGATCGGGACGGTCGTAGCGTATCCCGATCGGGGTCGAGGGAAGGCAAGGCGGTGCGATTTGTTGGCAGCGAGAGACACCCAGCAATGGTTAGCAAGCCAGCGGCGGGCGAGAGAGGAAGAGAGACGGCACAGCGAGCGCCGATGAAGCGCGTGTGTTGTCCTGCGGCGGTCTCGTCGTGGAGAGGACGAGAAGCGAAGGGAGGCGGAGGCGGAGGCGGAATACGAGTAGCGCCGCGGAGACTCCTACCTGCCGTAGGTCGTCGTGGGTTGGCACGAGTCCGCGCAGCTGTTGCGCGAGATCGGACAAGTCTGACCTGCAAAAGTGTCAGATGTCTGTCGAGGTGGCACTCGAAGCACTCTACCACATCTCTGTTGTCAATGCCGTCGTCGGTAGCGCCCAGCGTGTGGCGGGCTGGTCACGGAAATCGCCGAGCAGCGGGTGGGCTTACAGAACCCCGTCGTCGCATTCTGCCGGGGACTTTGGGGTAGTCCTCCGCCTGCCACGTCGACTAAACCCTCTCAGGCGAGGCGCCTGGCGTCCTCGTGTCTCTGCCCCCGGCTTTCTTTCCTCCGCCGATCGCCTCGCAGCAGATCCGCTCTCCCGCTGCCTTTCCACGGCTGCGCACCCCCCTATCCCTCCCCCCTCTCCATCTGTCACTGGTGGCAGTCCTCCTCCTCGGTGCTCCCCGCCGGCGGGCGTGTGTCCCCGTCGCCACCGGCGTCGTCCCCCGCGCTCCGTAAATGCTCGTTTCCACTGCCACCCTCGCGCACGCCCCCCGCCGCCGCCGCCTCCCCGCAGGGTTCAAGTGAGCAACCCGTCCGACGGTTTGCTTTCTTTTTCCACGACCTCCTGCTGCAGCCTCAAGCCGCGGACCGCCTTGGCCACGTGTTGTTTCAAGCTCGGCCCTTGGGACAGCCTGCCGCGCTTTCCTACCCCTGCCGGCCGCCCACGAGGGCTGGCGACTCCGCTGCTGCGCCGCGCGTGCATCCTTGTCCCTTTTTCTCATCTGCTCCGTCCCCCCTCCTCTTCCTCCTCCTCCCCCTCCTCCTCCTCCTCCTCCTCCTCCTCCTTTGCATCGTGGTGGCGCTCCCTCCAAGTTCATCTGCTCCTCCTACCTCTCCTCCGTGTCGTCGCCGTCATCATCGTCTTTGGCGGATGGGAGCGGCGGATCGACGCATGACAGGCGACTGCTCGTTGCGCCGCTGCCTAGCTGGAATGTTGAGTAGAAGACGGCGTACCCCTGACGCGCGGGGAAGGAAGCTGCAGGCCTCTGCGCTTCGTCGGCCGCGGTGTCCTTGAGGCCGCTTAAACCAGATGGCGGACCCGAAGGCGGCGATGGTGGCGGGGGGCGCCTTTCTGATCGGCGCGTGCTTTGGCGCCTACTTCTATCAGGGTCCTATTCGCGCCATGTTTGCCCGGAAGCGCGGGAAAAAGATGTTCACTGTCAAGGACTGGGACACATGGGGGTTTAAGGTGACCCCCCCGGCGGAGGATCGATTCAGTAATGACTTGCAGCGCCACTACTTCCACGGTCATTACCACCACCACCACCATTCGGACGCTCCCTGCTACGATAACAATCTTGATGACTCTGGTGCCGCCCCGTACGAGTCATGGCCGCCGCCTCACGCCGACGGCGCCGCCGGCTGCCGCGGCTTGTCCTCCGTCGTCAACTCCAGGCAAGATGCCACGGACGTTCATTACGGCACGCTCCTGGAGTTGGGCCACAAAACCTGCGTGCTGGAAGCCCAGGAGGATCGCGCCAAGCTCGCCGACGCCATGACCAAGGACACCATCACCGAGCAGCAGTTCAGTCGTAACCGCGAGTTGTTTGGCATAGAAGGCCAGCTGCGCGTACACGAAGCCTTCGTCGTCGTCGTCGGCCTCGGCGGCGTTGGCAGCCATGCGGCCTTGCATCTCGTTCGGACCGGAGTCGGCAACATCCGGATCGTAGATCACGACCACGTGACCATCTCATCGCTCAATCGCCACGCGGTGGCAAACAGGGGGGACGTGGGCCACCCCAAGGCCGTGGTGATGAAGCATCACTTTAACAGGATTTTCCCCGAGTGCAATGTGGACGCGCAGCCAGTGATGTTGACAGCGCATTCCGCGGACGAGCTGCTGTCAGGCTCGCCAGACTTCGTTCTCGACTGCATAGATAACATCGACACCAAGGTCGCGCTGTTGAAGACCTGCTTTGACAAGCGCATTCCGGTCATCAGCGCCACGGGAGCGGGGACAAGGATGGACGTCACTCGGGTTCGTGTCGTCGATATCAAGGACAGCGCTGTCGATCCCTTGGCAAGGGCCGTACGACATAGATTGCGTCGTCTTCACAACATTACAGGTACGGAACTGTTCCAAATGTTCAAGAACTTGAGCTATCTCCCTATATCTCCTCTTCAATCCTCTTTCTTTCTCAGGCCAAGTAATAGATGCTTCCGTCTCGTTCACCCCCACTGCTCAACGCATCCTCTTCTTTCTACAGTCGAGTAATAGATGCCTCGATCTCGTCGACAAACTACTTTTTTCCCCCCCTCTTCCCCCGGGGCGCATCGCACCCTCTTATCACGAATGTAAAAAGTCGATCTTCCCGCCCACTGACAGCGATGATGGGGGTAGGTTGTGTTCCGAGGAGGATGGGTATAATCAAATCACCCTGTCGATGCCCAGCTAGTCGCTCTCGCGTCTCGTCAGACCGTAGGAGTAGAGTCCGTACCCTTTGTTTTTACCCCTCTCGCCATTGTCCCTCTGCCTGCTGTCAACCCCTTCTCTCGCTAACAGGCAGACAAACGCCCCTGTAGCTCCCCCCCCCAACACAAATAACTAAAAATAAAAAAAAATCGTGCGTACCTCACTGGCAGACATGTCGGCGAGGAGGAGGGGGGGGGGAGGGGGACGCCTGATTGCAGTTCGTCACTGGGCTCCTTCGGTGGCTTTCCTATTGGTGGGGAGCGTCACCTGCTGGACAAACAAAGGCTTTCCTCCCCCAACTACCAATGCAGTCCCGACTAAACCCCACGTCGTCATTCCTTCTGATTACAACGTCGGTTTGCCGCCGCAGTCGTCCGTGATGATACCCTTCTGGCTACTGTCATGCGAATCTTCCGTGATACTTCGTGTTGCCACGTGTCATCCGATCTAGTATTCTCGGCCAAGCTTTCCAGTAGGCTGTTTAATCTTCTTTTCCCCCGTCCTCTTCTCCTCCCGTTCCCCCTCTCCCTCCCCCTTCCGCCCTGTGTATCGCCTCTATAGCTCTGGAGTCTCCTTCACGCCTATCTATGGCCTTGTCCTCCGCGCTCTCTTGCGCTCGTCTCCCTTATTAGCTGGTCTCACTCCCCGTTTTGCCCTTATCGACATTATACTTGTGGTCCTGTTCGCTTGGGGGGCCCCCGCCGCGCTCTCATGCGCTCATCCTACCGCTGATCCACCCCACCCGTCCTAACGCCTAAGGGGTTATGATGCCCTTATCCTTGGGCCCCTTACGCCCCCTTATCAGCGGCGTTGGCGTCCTCCTCCCTCTTCTTCCTCCCGTACTCGCGGGCGCCAATTGATCGGCTTTGATACGTTACTTGTCGTGTCTTTTTTTTTTTTTTTTTTTTTTTCATTCGCTACTCCTCGTTGTGTCTTATCATGTCGTAGTGGCTGTGCTTTCCAATGTCGGGATTGCTACGTGGCGTGGCCCTGAGAGTGCTGCAATAGGTCTCGATCCATAGCTCGGTAAGTGTGAAAACGTCAGGAAAAAAAGTGAGTGTATATGTGCGATATCTCGCTGAAGATACACGCCATTTTACCCATTGGGTGGGTTAGCCCTGGAGTAGTGCAGCGAGGCTCAGGGCGTACTCACACTAGCGGTATCTCAAATGTATCTGATCGAATTCACGGCCATACCTGGATGTATCTAGCCGCAATTCCGTCCAGAAATGCGTAAAAAAGTCGTCGTGTATCTCCTCAAATGTGTTTGTTGCATGCGGCGAATGAAAAACCTGGAAAGATACATTGCCATTTTGTTTTGTCTTTTGTGCATGTCGAGAGTAGTGGAGCGAGGCAGAAGCTTTTTTTTTTTTTGTTTGTGTTAATTTGGACCATTTCTCGATTTATGCGTGTCATCCTTGCGCAGGGGCCATGCTAATCTTCCCTCTCTGTATCGTTCCAATTTTAACGGATGTCCCGAAGGACAGTCAGAAGCTTTTGGGAACGAGAGACGCAGAGAGCGGGACGCGGCGGGGGCTTTCCCTTCTTTTTTGGTGTGTGTGGCCCGATTGACCACAGATCCGATTCCCCCCCACTCCCCCCCCCCCCCCCCCCCCAAAAAAAAAAAAAAAAAAAAAAAAAAAAAAACCTACGCTATGTTCTTCGATCAAATTCTTTCATCTTTCACGACGTATCCACCACTGCAACTAAGGCTATATGCAGGGTACCCCTGCAATCATAGCGATCTAAAGGCTATACAGGGGACCCCTGCAATCATCATGATCTATTAGGGGACCCCTGATATTCTACCGATCTATCTCTCTCGGTGAAGGGAGGTTACCTCTCTCGGTGGAGGGAGGTAATTGCATGGTTGGCCCTTAAGCTGATCAGCTGCTTGGTGGCTCTTTCTCAGTGGAGGGAGGCAATTGAATGTTTGCCCCTTAAGCTGATCAGCTGCGGGGTGGGTCTCTTTTCGTCGAAGAAAGCAACCTATTTTGGGACTCGTTGGTGCTCGCTCGACGACTCACCACATGCAGAAAATACAAAATCAGGCGGTGTATCTTTCCACGATCTAGCGGAAGATTCATTCTTGTTTTGCACATTTGGTGGGTGGTGCGGCGAGATGCAGTTCGTCGGGGAAACCCTTCACTCGTTCAGAGATCACCTCGTATTGCCAGCAAGCATAGCTGAGGGAATACATGACTCAGCACATGCACAAAAAACAAAACGTCTGGAGGTGTATCTATGCGTGTTCTAGCGGGAGATTCATTCGCATTTTGCACATTAAAAATTTTTGGGGAGTCGTGCGGCGAGATGCAGTTCATCGGAGATTAACCCTCCACTTGCTGTCAAGGATTGCCGTGTATTGCCAGCAGCATAGCTGAGGGAATACATGCGCTCGTCCTTGGGTACATCCGTGGAAATTGGCACGATACAGAGAAGGGCGGTTGGCATAATGTCCCCTGCGCTTTCAAGGAGGATGGATGGTACGCATAGATCGAGAAATCGTCCTTTTTTTTTTTCTTTTTTTGTTTTACAGGAAAACTCAGCTCATTTTATTATCACCAAAACCATCGTCCTTTTTTAATTTTTTCCCCCAACCACGATCTGCTAAACGAAAAAGAAAGAAAAGGGTAATCACGATAACTGAGGGAATACATGCACTCGTCCTTGGGGACATCCGTGGAAATTGGCACGATACAGAGAAGGGTAATTAGCATAATGTCCCCTGCGCTTTCAAGGAGGATGGATGGTACGCATAGATCGAGAAATGGTCCTTGTTTTTTTTTCTTTCCCCAACCACGTTCTGCTAAACGAAAAAGAAAGAAAAGGGTGGTGAAAAAAAGGGGAATAGACGAACTCGGACCGGCGGGTCTATCAATCAACTGTGGATTGAGTGGGGACTGACAAATTATTTCTTTTCCAATTTTTTTGCCAGAAGAGATGGCGATTATGGGGTCGACCAGATGGGAGGGGGAAATGGTACACTCACTGCAGAGGAGGGGGAAGTCGGCGGTGGCAGGGCAGATGTGAAAATGCGTGTCGTTGTTCTGTGTTTGTGCTCGTCCTCCGCCTGCTTCAGATACTCTGTTTGACGATATATATATATATATATACGGTTTACCGGGCAGTTCTGTTTGTGACGATATATAACCTGTCATCCACGTGGCTGGCCTTGTACGTAAGAGGTGATGAACAGGTGGGGCTTTCCTTCCTTCCTTCTTTTCCTTTCCTTGTTTTGCTTTTTTTCGCCTTCGCGCTCTGATTTACAGTGTGACAGTATATATAAATATAAAGATATGGGTGTTTTGCTGGCTTGTGATGAGGTGTGAACCGACAGTCGGTAGAGTTTTCCTTCTGATGTGGGTGAGTGATAGTCTGCTTTGATTTTCGTCACAGGTGGCTTGAGGGCAGTGGGTGGTGGTCCCCACCACCTCAGAGGGGTATCAGTTGTCGGGCAGTCGTTGATGCTTAACCACAACCGAATCGGGTTAAGGTGGATTATCACTTAGTGTAATCAGTTAGGGGATTCTGCAGACTGTTGAGGGTTCAGCGTCTACCGATTGATGAGTCGGTGAAACTCCGACGAAACAATTTGTCACAGACCCTCCCTCGTTTGTTGTCCTCTTCTCCCTCCCTCTCTGCCTACGGTTTACCGGGCAGCTCTGTTTGGCGATATAAACCTACATCCACGTGGGCGGCCTTGTACGCAAGAGGTTCTGAACAGGGGGAGTTATAAGGAAGAAGCCAAAAAATTGAATTCAATTTTCTTTTCTTCTTTTTTTTTCCTTTTTTTCCGCATTTGCGCTCTGATATTTTGTGACAATATATATAGAAACTCCGACGAAACAGTTTGTCACAGCCCCTCGTTTGTTGTCCTCTTGTCTCTCTCTGCCTACGGTTTACCGGGCA